GCTTGGCAAAAATAACCGAGATGCCAGACATTTGGTTTCAATCCCGAATACCCAGTGATATTCAGATAGACGAAAATTTCAAACAGCTGTCGGAATTTTAAAACAAACAAATTTCGTCTGCACTACTGCTGGCCTAGAGTAACTGCGGTACTACAATATGTGTATATCAGCTGGAATTCTACATGCCAACATTCATATGTTCACAGATTTATTTAAAACACGCTATGTTGTTTCAAAAACATTACACAATAATTTAAAGATGAAGAAACTGTCTAAAATGCCGTTAAAAATTCACATATAGACAAGTATAAATCAATATCCCAATATACATGCTAGACGAATGTATAAGATGCCGGTATGTAATACATAGAACGCTAAATATAATATGGTATTTTCCTGTTAAAATGTCACAAATCAAATCAGTGATTTATCACAAGTTTACTCTCCCATTATTTAACAAGAAAGCATTGCAAGTAAAACATCTCCTTATACACACAATCAGACAACATATGTTAACATATAACAACGTAAAATAATCATGGTTGGACTTCGTTCCCGAATAATAAAACTTCAATTATATAAATAAAACTTGTCTTACAGTATGACTATCATTATGAACTAAAATATTTTTATCATCTTACTAGATATAAATGTTTGTCTAACTGTTTCTCTATCTTCTCTTTTGTACACATATTTTGCTCAACTCTAAGATATATTTTTATTATTTTTTACAATTAATTAACAAATACCGGTATAATGCGTTTGATTGATTTGTTGGTTAACCAGACTGGGTCACTGATAAAAAAGTAAAAAAAGTAATTGCATTTTATAGTCTAAGTTTCATGCTTACGCACGTTCACCGATATTTTTTACCCCTGGTCATCGGGCTACTGGTATCTATCTATCAATCTCCCTGGGAAGTCTTTTAACTCCTTTTAGTGAAGCCGACACTTTGGCGCAACGGAATTATACCACCCTCGCAGGTACATAATGTGAAAGTAGAGGCGGGTGAAGTGAAGCAATCGCAGGTAAATTTCTTGCTCAAGGAAATTAGCAGTGCCCCTGGTGGGGTTTGAACCCGGGACCTCTCGATCCCTAAGCGCGCGTCCTACCACTGGACTTCTGCTCTCATATGATCTGATAGGGTCATATGGCAATTGTTCACCTTTATTGTTGTAAATAAAATAGCCATCATCTGTGATGTTGTTTTATTTTACCCGGCACTCTCCTGATCACCGCCTCTACTTTCACATTATGTATCATCAACACACCATCTAATCACTAGTAGCCGTTTAACACATTTTCACATATAATGTTAAACGTTAATTTAGATTTGTATAATTTACCAGATGAACATTGGTTAAATAGGTAACTATAAAAGCTGGAGCTCGGAGACCATGATCGGTTTTCAGTATTAATAAAACGTTATTATTGGTCTAGACGGGGCGAAAATCGATAAGTGACTGGAGTTGTTGGAGAGACGTTGCGACGTGTCGTAATTTAAAACAAAATACTCGATCACTTCAGATATTACTGTTTGGAAAATACACTTTGACTCACAGTTATACAGAGTATTTAATCAGGTATCATAAATTTCTATAGTTAAGATCTTTTTACAACTAAAAAAGTAATGAAAAATAACTTGCCAATCGAAGACGTTTGATGGATCTACAAACTAGACTGCTAGCATAAATATCGCATATTAAAGTATTCATTACTTCATTTCATATTGAACTGTAAAATAAATAATTACACACTCCGGAATTGAAAGATATAATAGTTAACGTCAATGTTACACAATCATTTTGTCTGGTGCTCTCTAAAGGATAGCGATGCTGTATGCTGCATGTTTTATGTATAATGGTGTCAGAAGGTTCATCAGGTCGTTTTGCAGTTGAGACTTTCCTTAAGAAATTAACAGAAGAAAGATGAGGACGTATATGTACATCATACACAATGGCATTTTTTTAGAAGTTACTTGTAGATCACGTTATTTCCTAACACCGGTCACCGAGTTCATTTTTCTGATGTCAAAGGAAACGTGAATTACCATGACAACTCCCTGCACTATCATCTTGCCATTGGTTTTAACATGCGATGATTTTACATGCATGTCTCACCAAATCAATAAATTATTCTAGATATATCAGACTTAATCAATATCATACAGATCTCGAGGATATCAGACAGCTAAAGATTTCCCCTTAAGTATTTATCACTGTGTTCCATTTATTTGCTATGTAATTTATTAATTTGATATTTGTCTTTATGCTATTCATCATTTCTATTTTCTTTATTTCTCTGGAAACGTCTGATGCAATGATTGTCTATTATATCTATTGTAAGGATACAGTGTTTTATATCAACTATGGTTATATATAAAGCTGTAGATTTTAATATTAATCGTAATATTAGGATATTTAATTAAGTAAGATTTCAAGATATTGACAAGAGCTTCATCTGTTAGCTACATGTATGTTATACATTGATGAAATCCGTAACAATACAAAAACGCAATGACAGTACAGTCAACATTTGTAGCGAAATATTAGGAACACTATTAAATTGGTCCTTAATTGTGGCCATTTCCTTCTCATCAAAAACCCCAAGCAAATGGTTTAATTTTGTTGGAAACATTTTTTTTTCTTCAAATATTTCCTTTTGTATGCAAATTTTATACAACAATCATCTACACAGTAATGCAGTCTACGCTCAAATGTTGGCGGTGGTTTTTACACTATTTTTTTTCTAGACACTAAGCTAAGCGATATATGTCATCATTTGGCTCCTTGTTTATTTTGTAATGATAAAGAAATAGGAAAAAAAGAAAGAAAATTAAATATAAGACTTTTTGTAATTATGACAGAACAACGCGACCCTTAATATTCTATGCGGTCCTTAACACGATACAGAATGTTCATATATCCAGTAAAACTGTAATTTTAACATTCCTAGGCGTGTTTGGTAATATGTATGACTCTATAATGTTTTTACATTTACATCAGTTCATTGCCACATTCATGAACCTAATTCGGCATTATTGTTTATTTCAGTAAGTCAACGTTATTGCGAAACAGGTGCAGTTTACGAAATATATCGGGACTTGATATTTGACATTTTTTTTTAAAAAAATTTGAAGACTAACCAATCTACATGTATTTAGTTTTCGAAGACTTTCTCCGTTATTCTAGCCTCGGTCTCACTTACTCCCGGCAGAGCCCAGGATCATCCCGGTAAGTTACCGGGATGATCTGGGACGATCCGGGGTGTAATTATTGTTGCGGTCACACTTACCCCGGCAGCACTACGGTAGTTCTCATCTAACCACCCAGGATGCGCTCCGGATCATCCAGGCAGAGCCCAGGTGCAGCTACGGTTCATGCCGGTGCTTCCCCGGTCGTTCCCGGATGACGCCGGAAGAGCCCCGGTTGACCAAGGCAGAGCCCCGGTCGATCCAGGCAGAGCCCCGGCAGAGCCCAGGACGATCCAGGCAGAGCCCCGGTAGAACCCCGGTGGATTGAAAACGCCCGAAAATGATAACATTGATACATAATTTTTATCTAATATAGTATCTATTGCTCCAGAATAGTAATTCATGATGATTTTCTGAAAAATCCTTATGCCATACTGGATAGAAGGGAAATGGGAGGGGTTTTAATACCAGCAAGTGCAATCATCGCAAATTGTCGTTTGTCTTTTGAAATGATCCGGGCTTTGCCGGGCTCTACCGGGGGATCAACCGTAGCTCTAACCTTTATCATCCGGGGCTCTGCCTGTAGTTGCCGGGGCTCTGCCGGCATTTTCCGGGGCTCTACCGTAGCTCTACCGGCTATATCTTACCCCGGATCATCCCCGGTTTGTGCCGGCAGAGCTACGGTGCTTCCCCGGTAAAACCCCGGTTGTTCCCGGCAGAGCTAAGGATGAAGCCGGCAAAGCTATACCTTCCCGGATCATCCCGGACCACCCCGGTGATATTAAATATTTTATTCCATCCGGGATCGAATGCCGGATGTTCCCGGATCATCCCGGATCATCCAGGACGTTGCCGGCAGAGTTACAGATGTACTCCGGTTGTTCCCGGTCGTACCCCGGTCGTTCCCGGATCACCCCGGACGTCTACCGGGGCTCTGCCGGGATGTTAGTGAGACTGTAGCTTTAGTGATCTTTGCTGTACAAATATTACTTACCAAAAGCCAGTGTATCGTGAAGAATAAAATGGTTGCAAATTTTTAGGATGTTACTTTTGTATAATAGTTTTAGTGCAAACTTTCTAACCTCAAGTTTATTAGTCATGCTTAGTATGAAGTCATGTGCTATAACTTATAGTTAATTGATCTACATATTAAAAGAAAGGAAAAAGAAAACTCTCGTATTGCTATGTTTTAAAATAATGGTGTCGGCCTGTAAGAACATAAAACAAATTGTTGAAATCAATTGTTGAGCTGTGACTAGTTTGATCGATACTGCTGTATTCCTACATTTTTACCATGCATATAAAAGACATTTATAGGATAGATATCGGTTTTTATGAGTCAGCAATGTCAGAGGTTTATGGTTGTTATCGTCATCTCATTAACTCACCACAATTATGATAACTTAAGATATTTATTTAATGTACTAAATCATACCATACAAAAACTAAAACATAAACGTATATGTACTATGAACGAATATAGTTTGATCATCAAACGTGGAGCATATCCCTCACGTGCAGTATCTTAAAGTTCATCTATTTTGTCCACAGAAAACTATTAAGTTAAAGAAGGATGAAATTGAGATTTTTTGCAAGTACTTAACATAATAAATTGACATAAGTTGACCGTGATCTGTATAACAAAGTAAAGCTATTTTTATAGATGTCTACAAAAGAACATTATATATCATTACATTTTATAATGTAATGATGACTAGATCCTAATACTGATTTAATAATTCCTGATATATGTAATCCAAAAAAATTGACAGTGATTTACAAGAAAGTTACTGTTTATATTTTACAGATGTGTTGGTGACCGGCGCCGCTGGTTTTATCGCCACACATATAATTCAACAACTACAAGAAGAGGGATACAAGGTAAGGGGAACATTGAGGTCACTCGAGGACAAAGAAAAGGTGGAAAGATTACAGAGCCTATCTCCAGAAGCCGAGTACAAACTAGAGCTTGTAGAGGCAGATCTCACCAAACCTGAATCATGGGAGGCGTACGTAGCTACATTATTTCTTTATGCTTGAATATTAGTTTGGAACATAACTCTTCACAAATTCTTGCATGGTCATCTATTTGGCATAACATAATGGTAAATAATGAGTAAACCCTATTCAGCTGACTTAAACACTAAATGTATATTGTATTCCAATAACATAATATCACTACTAGACTTATGACTGTATTAAAAATTGTTGTTTTACTGTTTAGAGCTGTGCAAGATGTGACGTACGTTATACACGTAGCAAGTCCAAACCCGTCTCAAGCTCCAAAAGACGAGAGTGAGGTTATAACTCCAGCAGTAGAGGGTACACAAGCTATTCTCAAGGCATGTGTACAAGCCAAATCGGTGAAAAAAGTTGTTCTCACAAGTTCGAGCGTGGCAGTTTGCTGTAAGTATCTATACAGGCTGGCATGCACACATACACGTACACACAGATTATAAGGATATTATTTGACCCTTGTATCACGTAGTTCATGGGGTACCTACTTTAATTTCTTATATGTACCAGTACAGAAAAAACTTCGATAAACATTAGGTTGCCATTTTAACTATAGGCAACGCGACATGTTTTAACCACGAGGAAGTGATGTTGAAGCTTTAAGGGTTCACTTAAGATGAAGTCACTTTTTAAAACTTTTTGTCTAACATACTAGTGATATATTTCATCCTAACATGATATCCTTCTAGAGGTATTCAATAGTCGGAATAAAGAGCCACTTAACCAAGAATAACAAATTATCATTAGGACGATATATTCTCATGGAAAATCTGCACTTAACCTTTACAATTTTGTCTCATGAACCTACTGATTGAATATAAGCATATAATTTATATTATATCAGGATATAATTTATATTATATCAGCATATGATTTATATTATATCAGCATATATGCTATATTATATCAGCATATATATTTTATTATATCAGCATATAATTTATATTATATCAGCACATATGTTATATTATATCAGCATATATGTTGTATTATATCAGCATATATGTTATACACGTCATTCTCTCGTGTTTGTTTATCGAAAATGAAAGTTGAGAACCTTTTTTTTTTTATGCGTTTATGGTCGCCGCCGGAAAGCCCATATGGGCGACCGTACTTTCAAGTCGGGCCATCCTAGAGCGTCCCGCCGAGATTTTTCGTCGATTTTTTTCCAGCTTTATTGGTGGAGGAAGACCTCAGGTGCCCCTCCGGGCATTATTTCAGGCACGAGCGGGCACCTGGGTAGAACCACCGACCTTCCGTAAGCCAGCTGGATGGCTTCCTCACATGAAAGATTTCGACCCGAGTGAGGATCGAACCTACAGCGGTGAGGGACCTGTGATCTCAAGTCAGCGACTTTAACCACTCGGCCACGGAGGCCCCTTTGAGAACCTTCCGGACAACTCGTTCTTTTAAACAATGGACGAGTCGCCACACGATGCAACATGTAGCGTTCCCATAAAAGTTACCGTAGCAACAGTTACTGGAGGAAAAGAAAAAGAAAAATCTGTTCTCAAGAACCAATTAAAATTTGACATAAGGTGGTAATTTAATTTGTCATTTCTAACTGTTAATAAGGTAATTCTAGTTTAGTGTGTACCATTTTAATTCGTTTTGAAAGCGGGTTGAAAAATGATATACACGTTTATCATAATTGTAATGTTGCACACAATATATAGAGTTTGTAGAATTTAGTTAACGGAAACACGAGTTGTTTTAATCAAATATCAATGTGAAATGATTTATAGATGGGCAAGCCGAGGCCAACAAAGTATACACTGAAGAAGACTGGATGGAACCAGAAAAACTGGACGGGTACGGCAAGAGCAAAGTGAATGCGGAGAAGGCGGCCTGGGATTATGTTAAGGAACTTCCAGGTAATCTGTTATATAAAAAAGTAACAGATATTTTATTGTTATCATCCAAATGCCTTTTACGTATGTACTTTTGACAACAGACCATATATGGACAAATCACACTCATTATTTGTTAAATTGCTCATGTAAAAAATTCCCGGAAACCACCACTTGATAAATGATTGTATTGCAACAATGCAGCTGTCCTCTTATGAACTTTTGATGTAAACAACAGTATTAGAAATATACATTCAATATACATATTAATAATACTAATACGTAAATGATATACATGAAATAACTTTAATTCAATAATCTTTAATCTACATCTTCATAATTAAATTACAATGTTGTGAGTCATAAGTGCGAGTATCTACCAGGAAGTTTAATTTTCTGTATCCTCATATCACACAGATAGACAAGTTTTTCTTACATTCATTTCTGACATGGGCTTACGCCATCTTGCAAAAATGATATTCAGGCAACATTTGCTTAATCCAAAAATCGTTTTAGAGACAAAACTAATGTTCTGTACATGTACACTTAGAAGTTTCTAAAATCAGCTACATGTACACTTAGAAGTTTCTAAAATCAGTTTCAATATTCTCTACATGTACACTTAGAAGTTTCTAAAATCAGTTTCAATATTCTCTACATGTACACTTAGAAGTTTCTAAAATCAGTTTCAATATTCTCTACATGTACACTTAGAAGTTTCTAAAATCAGTTTCAATATTTGTAAATAAATGCTTTAAACCACAAGTATAATTTGTTACAAGATTAACAACGGAAGGCTATGTAATTAGGCAAATAATAATAATGTTGTTTTATATCAATTTAAAAGTCTACAACACGACGGATATGTTATTTTCCGAAGCTTAATAAGTTTACTAATTATTGTATGATATAATTGTAGATGAAGACAAGATTGAGCTGTCTGTAGTGAACCCAGGATACGTTTTAGGGCCAGTACTTTCCGGCGCCCAGTGTACCAGTACTGATGTATGTACTACCGTTTTGTTTTTATTTGAATCTTATGTAATAATGGAAGGCGAAACACCGTTTTTCTTTTGCAAGTTTTACTTGTATCATTTTAGCCAATAAAACAGTAAATGCTACAAAATGTTCGGCGTAATTTCAAGTTTGATCACAACCTTTATGTGCATCATACTCCTTAACTTTTATAAATGAACAGTGTATTTGTGAATAACATTACTTCACATTGTACATTATGTTATTACAGGTAGTTAAACGATTCTACATTATATTATAACAGGTAGTTAAACGATTCAACATTATGTTATTACAGGTAGTTAAACGATTCTACATTATGTTATTACAGATAGTTAAACGATTCTACATTATATTATTACAGGTAGTAAAACGATTCTACATTATGTTATTACAGGTAGTTAAACGATTCTATAGTCTGATTTTATTGACCTGTCAATTATGAATACATTATAGGACTCATTTAAATATTCGATCCCACTTCGGTTTGGTCCGTGTAGTTTACGAGAATTAATGTGGAGTATATTAGTCATAGATTGAAAGTCACGCCAGCTTAATGTAAAGATTTTCGTTAATTCACAATAGTACAGTCGGTTAAGAGAATGCCTGATAATTGAGAGGTCTGTGGTTCGATCCTTACTGTTGCCATTGTTTTAGTACTTTTTCTTTATTTTTGCAGTATATTTTAATGGAACAGATTTGTAGTGTGTTTTACGGCATTGAAAAGGCATTTATTGCTTTAAATTTGTTTTCATTTTAAACATAAATTCCTAAAACATGTTATTTAAAAAGAGTATAGACATAACAAAATTAAGTAAAACATAATAAAACAAAACGAACAATATAAAAAAAATCATATATAGCTTCAATAATGTTGAAAGTATTAATAAGAAGGGAAAAAACATGGACCAACGCGGTCTCGAACTTAAAACACGTATGGCAGTTATATTATAAACTCGTGCTTTACCCTATTGCGCTATAACGCCGAGTGCATTTAGTTTATAGATACAAATTAAATTAAATTCCATCGTACAGCGTACATCTCACGGAACTTACCGAAAATCTACCGAAGATTAATATACTGTGTGCATCGACCGTGTAATCAGTATGTAATTGACAGGTTAATAAAACCAAACAATACATTATGTTATTACAGGTAGATAAACGATTCTACATTATGTTATTACAGGTAGTTTAACGATTCTATATTATGTTATTACAGGTAGTTAAACGATTCTACATTATGTTATTACAGGTAGTTAAACGATTCTATATTATGTTATTACAGGTAGTTAAACGATTCTACATTATGTTATTACAGGTAGTTAACCGATTCTACATTATGTAAATACAGGTAGTTAAACGATTCTACATTATGTTATTACAGGTAGTTAAACGATTCTACATTATGTTATTACAGGTAGTTAAACGATTCTACATTATGTTATTACAGGTAGTTAAACGATTCTTCATTATGTTTTTACAGGTAGTTAAACGATTCACAGGTAGTTAAACGATTCTTCATTATGTTATTACAGGTAGTTTAACGATTCTACATTATGTTATTACAGGTAGTTAAACGATTCACAGGTAGTTAAACGATTCTACATTATGTTATTACAGGTAGTTAAACGATTCTACATTATGTTATTACAGGTAGTTAAACGATTCTACATTATGTTTTTACAGGTAGTTAAACGATTCTACATTATGTTATTACAGGTAGTTAAACGATTCTACATTATGTTATTACAGGTAGTTAAACGTCTGTTAGAGAGGAACATCATGTTTGTACCCAAACTGAACTTCTCTTTAGTTGACGTACGTGACGTCGCCGCTGCCCACATTAAAGCAATGACGCTACAAGAAGCGTCAGGTAATATACTAGTAACTAGAACTAAGATGTGTACACTCTAACATAGTATACAGTCAGATCTTGTCCATTGTTGGCAGTGTGATAAAACTTGTATTTAAATATTATAATACTATTGAATAATGGTTGTGTTTTGTTAAATAATCATATGATGTTTGTGTTTTGTTTCACAATATGTAGATACCACTGTCATAGAGCTTATATATATATTGTACATTGTAGCAGTGAGATCAATAACTCAATGCTTGTGTAGCAGACATATTAATATTTTGCTGAGTGTTGTCATTTTATATTAATATATTCTATGACATTTCCTTGAATTAATCCGATGGTTGGTCTCACTTTCTCTCTGTTATTATACAAATGTATGTGTTAATGTTTAAATAGTCAGTATGTTGTATCGGAATCAAACGGTAGCCAATGTCACGTTAATAGTTGCTCCATTGCAACACGTCAGATATGTGTCCGCTTAAACTGTTTTGTCATTCTTTGCAGAAAAAGGTGTAATTGAAGGCCATTAATAAACGAAACATCATAATTTTTGCATAGGATAGTAACTGCAATAATTGTATCATCTGAAAGTTGCCATTCTCAAAAATCAACGAATATACCTTTTTTATATTCGTAATTTGATACTATAGATTTTCTATTTTTCGAACTCGTCGAGCAGATATCACTTATGCACTCAGTAATGTATAATGACCTCATATTATTGTTATATTACCGAATACATGCCACAACTCTTAGTTAAAATGACAGGGAACATAACTCTCCTGGTGATTTTGTAATTTACGACATGTATGCGCTACAATATTGCTTTTGTGTAAATAATTATTATATATTGTAATAAAAATTGTTAAAGTGCAGGCTTTGATTTTAAAATGCAAACTACATGTATAAAGTATTTTGTTATTTTTAATAGTTGTTCCATACAATAAGGTTACTTTGATTTTAGGGAAACGACACATTCTTGTGAATGAAAATCTGTGGATGAAAGAAATTGCTGTTATTCTGTCAAATGAGTTTAAAACTCAAGGTAATAAACAGTTATATATTATATACAATACGTTAAACAGAAGTATCTGAGTATCTATAGAGTCATATTGTATACGGTATAATACCTTTCTCATCAAATAATCATATATCTTACTGTTTTCTCTCTGTTACCAATTTTCACCATCTATATTTTATTACTTTAATGTCTTGATGAGTAATACTCAATGTAAATATAAACATCGGGTATCGGTGCCCTTTATTAAGAGAAAATCTTTAAGACGCATCATTAACCTTAGATATTTGAATATTTTACAGGTTATAATGTACCGACATCTAATTGTCCAAATGCCATGTTAAGTGTTTATGGTATCTTAAACAAGTCAATAAAGATGATCATTCCCCAGTGTAACAAGGTGATCAAGTTCGACAACTCTAGGGTAAGTAATATACATGGCATGTATAATACATCTCATCAATTCAAGTTATACTTAAACAGAACTTCTGTTCTGTCCAATCGCAGTTGCTATTTTGTTACATTTCCCTATAAAAATAATAATAATGATCAACATAACGCGGACAATGATGCTGCTGAAGAGATTGAATGTCCTGCAAATATAAGCTTTTGTCTGACAAAGATTCTCCCATGTTCGAACATTCAGATCAACAGCCTATTGTTTAAAATAAATCCGCTCATTTTTGAAGAACAAATACATATTTCTTGCTCACTTTACCTTGCAGATGAAAGAAGTCCTTGGAATTACACCACGTGACGTAAAAGAAACCATCATTGACATGGCTTACAGCCTTATAGAAGCTGGATTGGTAAAGAAGTCAAAGAAGTACAAGGTATATTGATGGCGTATCTTTTATCTTTAATCATTTATTTTTATCTAAATTTACTTAATTTGCGTAACATGATGGATATTATAGTCTAAGCTTACATATGATAATAGTATTTATCAGATTTACAGGTATGTTACAATTATATCATTTTGACAGAATTTTTAATAGTAAATATGTTATCAAAGTTATTGACAATGTTCTCAATGTCAACAGGGACCAGGTGGTGCCCAAGAAGATGCTAAGGAAGAAGATGTTAAGGCAGAAGATGAGGAAAAGAAAGAGCCCGAGGATGAGAAAGCAAAGGAAAATGGAGATATAAAAGATGCAGATAATATTGAAGATGATTTGAAGAAGGAAGGAAAGGATGAAGGGAAAGAGGGTGAGGAAACTAAAGATAATAAAGAAGTTGAGGAAGAAAAAAATGCTGAGAAAACTGAAACAGAAGACAAAGAAAAGTCAGAAGAAAAATCCGAAGAGAAGACAGAAGAAGCAAATGTAGAAAAGAAGGAGGGTGAATAAGAACGTAATCTTCGAATTAGGACATTTAAAGATAATTTATAATGAATGACACAATGTTAAAGTTTTGGTAATTGCAGGAAAAAATATAGTAGAAACATAAAGCTAAAAGATATAATTACTGGCCTTGCGTATTTCTATAGTAAAAAAATATTTTAACATATATTTTGAATTTGTAAGGCAGTTTGCAATTATCTGGATGTTATATTAACGACGCATGTAACCAAGTACATCATCTAAACAATTATATTATAAATGTGTATTTTGTTATCGCCCGACATGAAGATTTTGTTGAAGGAATCACCTTCTACAGACTTACCAGCCTTGTAGCCAAATCATAGAATTTTATATGTTTGCATGCTCCATGGCTTATCGGTATAAAAGTTGAGAATTTGCCCGGCGATGATAAGAGCACACATTTTGGATTTGTATACATGTAAAGATTCAAACATTTATCTAGATGTCGTGTTGATCTATATTTTACTTTTTGCTTTTTCTACATAGCATTACATCTGTTCTCAAGTCATTGGATCATTCATTTCTCGTGAAAGTAAAAAAACTCTTGCTCATAATAGTATCATCAAGATATAATTAAACTAGAATCGCTTCTTGTCTATTCATACAACAGTGTCTTAAATAGTTTGTGTTTCTTCGTAAATTATTTTAAGGTATTCTGATCGATATATAAAACAATCAACATAGTCTTCTCATCCTTATTCTATCGTCTTTAAACGTCTATAGCCCAACGTCAGCATTTCATCATCATCATTAAATTCATCATCACAATCATTATCATCATCATCGTCCTCATCTCTCGTATTTTATCTTCAGCATTTAGTGTTTCATTTATGTATCTAATCATTCACCATGTAAATGTTGGTAAATGTTGTGTATTATTTTGTGATTTTACAGCTTTTCAATGCATTCGCAATAGCAGTATTTTACTATACATTCTGTACAATATTTTCTCAACAACATGTTTTGTAAACGGATCAATCATCTATATGTCTAGTCTAGTGGTGAGCTAACACAAGTGCAAGTTCAATATGACAATGATGATGACTGAAAACTGATGACATATGTTGGGCGTTTTCTAGTCTTTGGTCAATGGTATTGTTGATGATAAAATTATGTACCAAACTTGATCTACAGTTGTCTGAAAAATAACCATTTTTATACGTCAATCTTATTTCTCTCTTAAACAGATTTGATGTTTTTTAGACAGATTTTACAGATAATGTTAAAGTTTTCTTGAAACTGACATGTTTTCATGTAAATTTGTATTCATGGCTGATTTTATTGTGCATATTTACTGTCTTACAATATTGTGCTTATATATGAGTTATATATTTTTTGTACAGTTCTATATTTTGTACATATTTACCAAAATAACAATTTGCTATACATTTATTATAATGTATGTTTCTTAATGAATGTATTTTTTATTTTATATTACGCTTTTTATGAATATTTTTCTATTGATATTACATTTCACACCAGTATATTATGCTTTTGCGTAAATTCAGTTTTATACATGTGTTCAACTTGAATATTTTAAAATGAGCGTATTTTCAAACGCTTCGGATGAAATTGTAATTCAAAGTGCCAAAGTTGTTTCGTATTCGTACATATAGAACCAGATAGATTTTTCTCAAAAGTTTAGTACTGTGAACATTATTTTCTTAATATATTCAATAAACATGCTCTCGGCTGATACCCATGCGGATTGGTATGTTCAAAATAATAAGAATATATATAATTTTTCTAATGCTAAACGCTTTTTATAAATACATTTACTTCTAGTCATAATCATTAAAGTTTATATTATTATAAAATAATCTAAGTATAGATGTTTTAGTTATACATAAAGTTTTGGCCGGGCGTTGTGAAATAAATTTGTAGCAATTTTTCTTCCAATATAATCAGTTAATGCTCCTCTATCTCGTCTTAAAATATTCAAAATTTATAGAATCAACAATTATAGATATATACATATGTAGATAAATGCAAACTAATATTTACAGAATAGATTTTATACCGGTACTGAGATTAGCTACATTGAAATAGTGCCATGTCGATGGCGTGTAAAGATACCAGATATAGCGTTACCGCAGGCCGAGGTTATAAGAATGATGGGTGTCTTTTGTCGAATTTTGTTTTTCTTAAATGGGACCATGTTAATCACTTAAGAGACCACAATATTCCATATTTTTGGTTGCTTCATTATAAAGTTTGGTTGATAAAAACGCGTTCTAAAATATCATCACACTGCTTTTTTGGATTTCTTGTCATACATGACGCATTTAAGTCGACTTTTCACTCGATATTTATACATCCTGCTGTGTTAACTTACTGACTTATACAATTCTGTTCTCAGAAACGTTTCAAACAAAAGTTAAATTTGTGGGAAAATTTCTATAGTAAATTTTTCCCCCCGACTGAAACAAGCATGTGGAGTCGTGTGCTTGTTAGGGCAGACTTCGTGAAGCATGGATTTAAAAGAAATAAAAGTTATCATGTTCCAAGATTGTTTTGAATGGTCATTATAAACGTTTCTTTTATGATAATATAAGCTAAATTTTGAATGTACGTAACAATTCTTGAACATTTCCCATCAACTAGGCAAAATTTTACATGAAATGACCATTTGACAGACCTTATTTGCAGGCTTGTGTGCAAATGTTTTGGTTCTTAAGAGTCACTGTGCTCGATAGAACGATTTACTGTTGCCAAATTTAGACAATTCTTGATTTTATTTTAAAATCGTCGGAATATATTTATTTTGTATGGAACAACTTGGTGTTTTACTACAGTCAGTGCAGCATCAATGACTATGCTTGGTGAATATCTGGTCTAGACCTTGTCTTCTAAAGATTGTTAAGTTGATACATTTTTGTGATTAGCCATTGTAAACTGCATTATATTGTGTATTATTGTCTAATTATGGTAACAACCAGTTGTAAATGTTGCTTTATAATGCTTCAATTGTTATAAATAAAGAACGGTTGGATACACCATTTAATCTTGTGTTTTATTGAAGACATAAAGGTGTGTTACTTCCCTGTTATCTTCTTAGTTAACAAAATTAAAAATATGTTTATATAAATTGAAACCGTATGGGCATTCAATATGCCAAAGCGCCATAGGGAATAAAAAATTAAGAGATGAACTTGAAAACTGGCGATATTGTACAAGTGGGGGATCACTACATGAAGCCTGCAAACAGTTGGCGATATTGTACAAGTAGGGGATAACTACATGAAGCCTGCAAACAGTTGGCGATATTGTACAAGTAGGGGATCACTACATGAAGGCTGCAAACTGTTGGCGATATTGTACAAGTAGGGGATCACTACATGAAGCCTGCAAACAGTTGGCAATATTGTACAAGTAGGGGATAACTACATGAAGCCTGCAAACAGTTGGCGATATTGTACAAGTAGGGGATCACTACATGAAGCCTGCAAACAGTTGGCGATATTGTACAAGTAGGGGATAACTACATGAAGCCTGCAAACAGTTGGCGATATTGTACAAGTGGGGGATCACTACATGAAGCCTGCAAACAGTTGGCGATATTGTACAAGTGGGGGATAACTACATGAAGCCTGCAAACTGTTGGCGATATTGTACAAGTGGGGGATAACTACATGAAGCCTGCAAACAGTTGGCGATATTGTACAAGTGGGGGATAACTACATGAAGCCTGCAAAACAGTTGGCGATATTGTACAAGTGGGGGATCACTACATGAAGCCTGCAAACAGTTGGCGATATTGTACAAGCGGGGGATCACTACATGAAGCCTGCAAACAGTTGGCGATATTGTACAAGTGGGGGATCACTACATGAAGCCTGCAAACTGTTCGCGATATTGTACAAGTGGGGATAACTACATGAAGCCTGCAAACAGTTGGCGATATTGTACAAGTAGGGGATAACTACATGAAGCCTGCAAACTGTTGGCGATATTGTACAAGTAGGGGATAACTACGTGAAGCCTGCAAACTGTTGGCGATATTGTACAAGTAGGGGATAACTACGTGAAGCCTGCAAACTGTTGGCGATATTGTACAAGTAGGGGATAACTACATGAAGCCTGCAAACAGTTGGCGATATTGTACAAGTAGGGGATAACTACATGAAGCCTGCAAACTGTTGGCGATATTGTACAAGTAGGGGATAACTACATGAAGCCTGCAAACAGTTGGCGATATTGTACAAGTAGGGGATAACTACATGAAGCCTGCAAACTGTTGGCGATATTGTACAAGTAGGGATAACTACATGAAGCCTGCAAACTGTCGGCGATATTGTACAAGTAGGGGATAACTACATGAAGCCTGCAAAACAGTTTGGCGATATTGTACAAGTAGGGGATAACTACATGAAGCCTGCAAACAGTTGGCGATATTGTACAAGTAGGGGATAACTACATGAAGCCTGCAAACTGTTGGCGATATTGTACAAGTAGGGGATAACTACGTGAAGCCTGCAAACTGTTGGCGATATTGTACAAGTAGGGGATAACTACGTGAAGCCTGCAAACTGTTGGCGATATTGTACAAGTAGGGGATAACTACATGAAGCCTGCAAACTGTTGGCGATATTGTACAAGTAGGGGATAACTACATGAAGCCTGCAAACAGTTGGCGATATTGTACAAGTAGGGGATAACTACATGAAGCCTGCAAACTGTTGGCGATATTGTACAAGTAGGGGATAATTACATGAAGCCTGCAAACTGTCGGCGATATTGTACAAGTAGGGGATAACTACATGAAGCCTGCAAACAGTTGGCGATATTGTACAAGTGGGGGATAACTACATGAAGCCTGCAAACAGTTGGCGATATTGTACAAGTAGGGGATAACTACATGAAGCCTGCAAACTGTTGGCGATATTGTACAAGTGGGGGATAACTACATGAAGCCTGCAAACTGTTGGCGATATTGTACAAGTGGGGGATAACTACATGAAGCCTGCAAACTGTTGGCGATATTGTACAAGTGGGGGATCACTACATGAAGCCTGCAAACTGTTGGCGATATTGTATAAGTGGGGGATCACTACATGAAGCCTGCAAACAGTTGGCGATACTCTTCAAGTGGGGGATTACTACATGAAGCCTGCAAACTGTTGGCGATATTGTATAAGTGGGGGATCACTACATGAAGCCTGCAAACTGTTGCTAAGAAGACGTATTTAAATTCAGGCAACATATTTTGAGAAAGAATTATCAATATTAAAGTCGTGAAAATTTTCTGTTGTTTTTAAGCAGATTTTAACCTGCTTTATTATAAATATACATTAACCTAAGCTTATTGCAACATTAATTACAGTCTAAACGAGGCATGTTCCAAAAATAATGTTATTTGTGCTTTGTACAATAAAAATGGGTCAAAGACAGAATAGGCCGTGTTGCATTTGTATACCAAATATCATGATGTTGTGATGTTACGAAAAAAAATTACCACTGACCATTAATGTCGAAAATTTAACTAAGTCGGTAAACAGGAAGTGAATGAGCAACAGACCTGAAACCAAATCCCACGTATGGGACTACATGTAAATGCTGTATGCCAAATATCAAAAGGCTGTGATTAGTAGTTGCTGAGAAAACTGTTACGAAAATTTCCTACCATTGACCATAAAGTCGAAAATTTAACTAAGTCGATAAACAGGAAGTGGATAAGCGACAGACCTGAAATCAAATCTCACGTATGGGACCACGTGTCAATGCTGTATGCCAAATATCAAGAGGCTGTGATTAGTAGTTGCTGAGAAAACTGTTACGAAAATTTCCTTACATTGACCATTAATGTCGAAAATTTAACTAAGTTGATAAACAGGAAGTGGATAAGCGACAGACCTGAAATCGAATCCCACGGTATGGGACGACGTGTCAATGCTTTATGCCAAATATCAAGAGGCTGTGATAAATAGTTGCTCAGAAAACTGTTACGAAAAGTTTTTTCCCCACCCGCCGCCCGACATTCACCATACTATAACCCGGGTTTGCACCAGTGCAACCCGTCGTGTACACAAATCAATCTCGACTCAAATCGATCTCAACTCAATTGCATACCACTTCAGTATTTCGCTCACAACTTCACTGACCTTCGTGCAGAGCACCCTTTTTTCCAGTAAATTCACAAAGCTTTAAACAATGCCAGTGGCAGAAGAGTTATAAATGCGACTGAAAAAGGGCCTATATAAATAAAAAGGGAGGTCGCTGCTCAATGTTTTTTTTTTTGTTCTGTAAATATTCCTCCCATTAAACCTCCCAATTCCACCCCAAACCACAGACAAATGAATTATTACGTCAATAGGCCATAGACAAATTTAGGGCTACCATAACAGGCCAAAGACAAATGAGGGGCTACAGTAACAGGCCACAGACATATGGATGACTATAACTATCTAAATTAGGCCTCAGATAAATGAATGACTACCTTAACAGGCTACAGAAATTTGGGAAGCTACCTTATCAAGTAACAGTTAAATGAAGGGACTACCTTAACAGGCCGCATACAAATGAATGACTATCTTAACATGCCACAGACAAATGGTGACTATCCTCACAGGCCCAGGCAAATGAAGGACTTCATTTACTGGCCACAGACAAATGAATAACTACATTTACAGGACACAGACAAATGAATAACTACCTTTACAGGCCACAGACAAATGGTGACTATCTTCACAGACAAATTGTGACTATCTTAACAGGCCACATACAAATTGTGACTATCTTAACAGGCCACAGACAAATTGTGACTTTCTTAACAGGCCACAGACAAATTGTGACTATCTAACAGGCCACAGACAAATGGTGACTATCTTCACAGGCCACATACAAATTGTGACTATCTTAACAGGCCATAGACAAATTGTGACTATCTTAACAGGCCACAAACAAATTGTGACTATCTTAACAGGTCACAGACAAATTGTGACTATCTAACAGGCCACAGACAAATTGTGACTATCTGAACAGGCCACAGACAAATTGTGACTATCTAACAGGCCACAGACAAATGGTGACTATCTTAACAGGCCACAGACAAATGGTGACTATCTTAAAAGGCCTCAGACAAATGGTGACTATCTAACAGGCCACAGACAAATGGTGACTATCTTTACAGGCCACAGACAAATTGTGACTATCTTAACAGGCCACAGACAAATGGTGACTACCTTTACAGGCCACAGACACATGGTGATTATCTTTACAGACCACAGACAAATGGACAACTACCTAATCTTCCACACACAAAAGCTTAGTTATAATCATTCCATTTTGCCATGAAAGTTTATTCAAAATTGCGTCTTCCTTTACCCTTGCTTTTAGACAACAATATAATTAAATATAATAGAGTAATCCAGTAATGCAATTGTGATCCAGCAATAAATTTCTAGGTAAAGGTCAAAAGAAAAATAAAACACTTCTATATAAAGTAAAGTTTATAACAATGTATTGTAGTCTATTTACTAATGGTTTACTCAGCATTTGATTCAATTAAGATGAGGTACTGTCAGTCAACTTGAATAGTAACTTATACTACATATTATATCAATAACATTAAATACTTAATAGCACTAAAATGTTTAATAAATCAGATCATGTGATCTTATAGCAGACATTTTTAATTTGACGTCCTGATGATGTAAAGGCTATTTCATTTACTGGCTGATCCTCTGATTTATCTACAGGTTCATCTGCATTGTCTGAACTTCCACTATCATCTGCATCTCTGAAATAATACACTATATTGTTACCTACCATAAACTTAACACACATAGCATTGCAGCAAAACAATAGGGAGAAATAAAAATATAAAATCAAGCTATAAGATATTTACATATAAACTACTGGTCAGCATTAATTTTCATACAGCTGAATGGAGAAGAAAATTCAATTTCTGTAAAAAAAAAATTGTCTATGAAAAAACATCAACTTTCTACTAGCCAGCTGGATATCTTCATTATTGTTTCTGTCCGGATTTGAAACTATAGTGATGATAGGCTTTAACAACATTGCCACAGGCTGATTTACAGCACAGTTGTTGGTCTTGGATAGTGATCTTAAGTTAATGATCCTGAAAACGTGTGTTATGTAATGGAATATGAAGTTGCATGTAAAACCATTACAAAATGTAAGTAGAAACCAACAGAGTGGTGACTTCAAAAGCACTATTATTCATCCAAAAATTGAACTTGAACTCCTTGATTTAAGGTGATATCAAGAAATTATTTTACCGTAAAATTGTATCTGATTGATCAAAAAACAGGCCCAGTATGCCCACTAACCAATTAAAATCCTCATATTTATACAGAACTATAAAAAGATTTTATAACCTTGAGACCACTTAGGCACTCTCATCTGCACAATGCCTATACTTTTGTAACTATTTAATTTTATTCAGTAATAACTCACACATAATCACTGCCACTTTCTTCACTTTCATCCTCTAAACTAGTCAATTTTCTTCTCTTTGTTTTACTTTGTCCTGACAATTTGGATTTCTTCAATTGTCTAGATTTGCCCATTCTGTCACTGTGTCTTTTCTTCTTGTCACTTTGTTTTTTCTTTGCTTTACCTTCCGTTCCCTTTGCTGATAAATCTGTATCTGATTCAGAACTGTATGCACTAGTTTTCTTTTCTGTCACTAGAACATCCAAAACATGGTGAAACATTTAATTTATTATATTACATGTTTGTAACATAGAATTTCATTTGACAATTGTAGCGTTTAAATTACCTATTATACATGGCTGCTGTATATCTATAAATAATTTTTCATTTTTCCTCAAATGCAGATGAGATTTAACAGTATTTACACATTATAATAACATGTGACATGTTAAACAGGTGTGTATAAAACAATTGGTGGCTGGGGTAATATATGCTTACATCTGCTTATACAAGACTTATAAGTCTTTATAATTGGTACTGTGCAAGGAGGAAAATTATCACCTGATGTTTTTTGGGGTTTTTTATTTTCTTTTTTTTGGGGGGGGGGGGGGGGGTGCATAAATGCATACATTTATTTATAAATCAAATAACTAACCATAACATTTCTCAAATAATGAAAATAAGGGTATTGTTAAGTAGTATCTGAAATACATTTAAAATATGGATAAATTCAATAACATGCCCTTGTATGTTGGCCTAATTTTGAAATATCATAACAATAAAACGATCCTGACCAACTGTTTCACTCAATTGAAACAGCTGTGGAAAAAAATACATTAAACATGTTGTCAACAAATAAACCATAAGTGGAAAAGAAAAAGCCTTGCCAAGAACTAAAACATACAAATCTAATATCAATATACATGTCTGTGCTCTTCCTATCAAGCTAACAATACAGAAGGGTAAAATCTTTAATTAGGACAACACAACAAGGTTAAAGGCCAATTATGCTACAAAAATACTTTTTTTTCTTAAAACCTTTTTAAATTTTGTTTTTTGTGTATTTTTTATAGCATCCAAAAAGTTACTCATTTGCCAATTACCGTAAACATCTTTTAAAACTGTTGCTTTTTAAAATATGTACAATTATAGTAAATTTGTATTTTGTTTTGAAGTAAAAATACTACTTTGTTTACATTTTGCTATTTTTATAACAAATTATTTCACATTTATCTGGTTATAAGCTTCTGGGGCATAATAAGCCTTAAATAAACATAAAAACAAGAGAAAGGTCATTTATTTCATTAACTTCAAAACTTACTATTGATTTCTTTAAAAACCTCTTTGAATTTCTTGTCATAGCTGGCATCACTATAGCTTACATCTTTCCTCTGACGACAAGATCGCCTCTGTTTAATATAACATCATAATCAGCACAATATATACAAGTGTATCATCACTTTCTGATATAACACATGGTTAATCATGTAAAATAATCAAGGGTTTTAGGGTTATATGGCGATTTTCCAGTTGGAGGAAGATATCAGGTGCACCTACGTTTATAATTTGAGTAGAACCATCAATCTGTCATAAGTAGCTGGATAGCTTCCTCTCATGAAAAAATTCATAGTCACTGGCAGGATTCAAATCCAAACAAAATATTTCAAATTCAACAACCTTAACTACTGTAGATTGGGAAATATAAGAATATTGCGAATATTTCCCAGTCTTGAGTACTAAGTCTCAGATGGCCTGAAATAATCTTAATCGGAAATGATTTATTATCATACTAGAGAAATAATAACAGACTCTATATTTCCATTAAAGGAAAAACTAGTAATTTACTTGAAAAAACAAACCATCAAAACAGGAATTGTATAATTAAATATGCCCCCGGGAAACCCAAAAATATAGAATCTGGATCAAATGGATCCGTGGCTTGTCCGCTTTTAAACAGATTCTCTACTTGTAATAGGGTTTGTAAGCAAACAGCATGGATCCTGATCAGACTGCGCGGATGCGCAGGCTGGTCTGGATCCATGCTGGTCGCAAACGGACTATGTTGGTTTTGTCGTGACGCGGCTCAAATATCTTACTGGGTAAATTCTATCTAGCAAAAATTATGTCCTTTATTTCATATTGACACAATCTGTTGTCTACATAAACTGAAGTTTATACAAACAAGATTTTGTGACTATTCTAATATCATCCTTGTAAGAGAAATACAACAACTGTAAATCAGAGAAAGTTTTCTGTAGTAAAATATATTTACCTCAATTTCTACAATATTCTCTGTATCAATGCTGAATGTTTTCTGTGATATTCTAAAATGTACAAAGTTTTTTATTATTCACTTTTTTATATGAACTATTATTGTTTTTTCCTGTACTAAAATACTAGTATCATTGTATGCTTGTTAACTTTTCCCATAACTAAATGTAACAGAACGGGGTCAGGTACTCCCAATTATGCTCCTATTTTTGAACATATAAAGTACACAGTATAAATGAACAAATTAAACATTTTAACTTTTTTTATGATGTCACATTAAGCATAATAGACAAAGGACACAATTTTTAAACATAAAATTCTTTACACATACATGACACATGACTTTTTTCTTCTGTAGAAAAACACAATATTTCAAGGTCAGAAAACTTTCTTATTTACTTTTTTTCTCAATCAATTTGCTATTGTTGTAAACTGTTAGAAAACAACAACACGATTTTATAACTTTTTTGACATTTGTAGATTGATAAAACATTTATGTCAATAAATTTCATAGCAGATCTAGCTTTTACACACTGTTATAATTTATTACAAGAGCAATCAGTGTGTCTACTATCTTCTAAATTCAGCCAATACACAAAATTTTAGGTCTTTCAAATTGTAATGTCAAAAAAAGGGTAAAAATGTATATAATAAAGAAAAGTCAAAGTTTTCTATAAATACAGGATTTATTTTCATCATGTGGTACGAAAATCATCATATTTCACTTGTGGCTATATTTATTTTCATAACACTCAATAAAAAATAAATCCTGTATTTATAGTAAAAACTTTAATATCCTCTATGTATAAAATATTTCTGATGATTTCATGTTGTGTACAACTTGGGTTGGTTGAAGATATAGATTTTGAATGCAAATATTGCTAGATCAATTGTAAGCTATCGGAATACCTAGAAGTATAGAAACAGAAAGCGTTTGCTATTGTTTTTAATGCCAAAGTGTTTTTATTGTAAACTTTGAACAAACTGTTAAGAGTCTCTATCATTAAATGAGTTTGTAAAACTAAAACTAAGTTTGTGTCAAAATCCACTAAGTTTTAAAAGATCAGCACTGTTTGGAAATACCCGCTTTGGTGTTTGGTAGATCAGATCTGTTCAGTATTTATCTCAGGATAGCGCATGTTTGAATTGGCTGTTAAAGTTTTGTGCAAGGATTGTAGCCTACATCATTCAGAAATGACTCCTACTGTATTGATCTTTTCAGAAATAGGTCATGTTTTTGAAAAGCTTAAGGTATTGCTTAACAGTAGGTAATTTTACTGAAGTGTTTGGTAATATCTGACCTTGCTCTATATCATTGTACTATAGAGTCATTTAACACACAAATAAATGACAAAATTATAAATTTTGTCTATGAAATATCCACAAGCAAGCATTAGCAAACTTAAAATGACAATAATGCTATTTTGTCTTGTGGTTAAAATAACAGTGACTGGGGGATATCAGGAATGACCAATATTAAAGCATGTGATAAAGTGATGTGAAAAGTTAACATATAGATAATGCAGTCACGAAGATTTATATCTATTTTACCTATCAGCAGCTCTCCTGTTCTTGTTAGACCTCTCAGCTCTTCTCACAACTTTCAATTTTTCTTTAAGACTTTCTATCAACATACCCTGAAATATTAAGGCATTTAGGTTTACATAATGCAATTTTAATTTATACTTCTAAATAAACTCTCAAAGACAACATGTCAAAGTGTGTTTGGAAATTGATAAGAGGACTACCAAACATTTGATTTTTGTTCTGAAATGAGTTACATATGAAAATATATATACAAAGATTACAAGTAGATGTCATTAGTCAATGGTTATTAACTATCACTGATAGTATACAGTTATTTCATTGGTAACAGTCAAAACTGTTGTCATGGCTGGTATCAGGGATGACATTTGGAACTGTTGCCATAAAGATGCAACTATTTTTAGATCATATAATAATGCCCTTAATGAAGAGGTTTAAAAATGTAATAAATCTACTTGTTTAACATACATGTTCACACTGTGGACAAAACCAGTCTTCTAATGGAACAAGAAATAGTGGTGGTAATAGACATGACATATGATAACCATCCTTACATTCATCGCATAGTAATACCTGAAATATATATATATAGTCATACCTGAAATATATACATAGTCATACCTGAAATATATATAGTCATACCTGAAATATATTCATAGTAATACCTGAAATATATACATAGTAATACCTGAAATATATTCATAGTAATACCTGAAATATATACATATATAGTCATACCTGAAATACAATATTCATAGTAATACCTGAAATATATATATATAGTAAATACCTGAAATATATATAGTCATACCTGACAATATATTCATAGTAATACCTGAAATATATACATAGTAATACCTGAAATATATTCATAGTAATACCTGAAATATATACATATATAGTCATACCTGAAATATAATATTCATAGTAATACCTGAAATATATATATATAGTAATACCTGAAATATATACATAGTCATACCTGAAATATATATATATAGTAATACCTGAAATATATACATAGTAATACCTGAAATATATACATAGTAATACCTGAAATAATATATATATAGTAATACCTGAAATATATACATAGTCATACCTGAAATATATATATATAGTAATACCTGAAATATATATATATAGTAATACCTGAAATATATATATATAGTAATACCTGAAATATATATATATAGTAATACCTGAAATATATACATAGTCATACCTGAAATATATTCATAGTAATACCTGAAATATATACATATATAGTCATACCTGAAATATAATATTCATAGTAATACCTGAAATATATATATATAGTAATACCTGAAATATATATATATAGTAATACCTGAAATATATATATATAGTAATACCTGAAATATATATATAGTAATACCTGAATATATATATAGTAGTAATACCTGAAATATATTACATAGTTAATACCTAGAAATATATTCATAGTAATACCTGTAAATATATACATATATAGTCAACCTGAAATGATAACCTATTTCATAGTAATACCTGAAATATAATCATAATAATAGTAATTACCTGAAATTATATACATAGTCATACCTGAAATATATATATATAGTAATACCTGAATAATAAGATATAAGTAATACCTGAAATACTATACATAGTAATACCTGAAATATATACATAGTCATACCTGAAAATATATATATAGTAATACCTGAAATATATACATAGTAATACCTGAAATACTATACCATAGTAATACCTGAAATATATATATATATAGTAATACCTGAAATATATTACATAGGTCATACCTAAATATATTATATATAGTAGATACCTGAAATATATACATAGTCATACCTTGAAATATATATATAGTAATACCTGAAATATATACATAGTAATACCTGAAATATATATATAGTAATACCTGAAATATATATATATAGTAATACCTGAAATATATACATAGTCATACCTGAAAATATATATATAGTAATACCTGAAATATATACATAGTAATACCTGAAATATATATATAGTAATACCTGAAATATATATATAGTAATACCTGAAATATATATATAGTCATACCTGAAATATATATATAGTAATACCTGAAATATATATAGTAATACCTGAAATATATACATAGTAATACATGAAATATATATATAGTAATACCTGAAATATATATATATAGTAATACCTGAAATATATACATAGTCAATACCTGAAATATATATATTATAGTAAATACCCTGAACCATATATACATAGTGTAATACCTCGAAAACTCACTATTCCTAGTAATTACTCTCGGAAAGCCTATATATAGTTATAGCTCGAATACCTGAAATATTATACATTAGTCATACCTGAAATATACTATATTTATATTAGTTAATTACCTGAAATATACTAATATAGTCATACCTGGAAATACTATTACATAGTAATACCTGAAATATATATATATTAATACCTGAAATATATAATATATAGTCATACCTGAAATATATTCATAGTCATTACGCTGAAATATGGTATATTATACTAGTCATACCTGATAAGGTAATGATTCATAACAGTAATTACCTGAAATATATATATATTGAGTAATACCTGAAATATATCACATACGTCATTACCTGAAATATATATATATGCCTAATACCTCGAATACCTTAATACCGTATATAGTCATCACCTGAATCTAATCATATATGTAACGATACATCTGAAAACGTACTCCTATAGGTATAGTGGAATACTCTGCAAATTATATATACATAGTGCTAATCAATCACCTGAAGATGATATTACATTTCAGTCTATACCTGAACCTCACTTATAATGTATATAGTCCATACGCTGAAATACCTATACGATAGTAATACCTGAAATATATACATAGTCATTACCTGAAATTATATAATATATATAGTCATACCTTGAGAAAATTATACTATCATCGTCATACCTGAAATATATATATATAGTAATACCTGAAATATATATACATAGTAATACCTGAAATATATATATAGTCATACCTGAAATATATATATATAGTAATACCTGAAATATATACATAGTAATACCTGAAATATACATGTATACATAGTTGTACCTGGTATATGTACATATTCATATCTGAAATAGATTTTCAACATTCATGCTTCACAGAAGCTTTGTCATCAAGTGCCCTGCGTGCAATACTGTCAGCATTTTTGCAATTGCAGGCATTTTAGGGTAATGATGAATTTTTTACATATATATGATAATATGCGACAGATTGAATATTAATTTGTATTCTTTATTTTTATGGGGTAATGTATGAATTTTTTACATATATAATGAGGTGGCCAGATGAAAATATTAATTTGTATCTTTTTATTTTTTCTACTGATTAAATTTGCTAATTGGCTATCTTATGAGTCTGATTTTATTGAGCCTTGTGCAATCTTTGAACATTTAAATATTTCGATTTCACTTCCGGCTCTGTCCGTTAATAGATTACGAGACATTAATTATGGAGTATTTAACTAGAGTGTTTGAAAAGTCACACGCAGCCTTAATGCAAAAACCTTTAACAAATCTGCCCCCGATAGCACAGACGGTTAAGTTGATTGTTCCTAATATATTAGATTTCTGTTAGTTTGATCCCTACTTTTGGCTATTATTTTTAGGCCTACTCTCTTCTTCTCTTTTTTGCAGTATATTTTCATTGGAAATGGCCAAGTGCTTCCAATAATGTCTACACATATATGAATCAGCCTTAAAACATTGTGTTCTCGATTTGTATTGTGTTTTACGCCAATTGAAATGACTTTTACTAATTTTAATCTAAATTGAATTACAAATATTAATTGCTGGAAACCATGTTTTTTTTAAAAAAAACAAAAAAACAGTTGAAGACTATACCAAAAATAATTGCCTAAACATATTTCAATTAAAACGAGACAACATCAAAAGCAATTCATAGTTCCAACAATGTTGAAAATATTAATAAATAAGAAAAAATAGACACTTAGACGTTATGAAGGTTCTCGATTCTCTACGGATGACGTTAAGACACTTAGAAATTTCTTAACCCGTAGCCTTACCCTTATTGCCCTATATTGCTTCAGTATAATTATTTCATGCGGCACAAATTTTATTAAATCAAATCTCACTACGTACATTCTCACGGAAAAAACCGAAAAACGTTCCGTGATAAGATTCCCCAACTATATCTGTCGTGCACTTGACCGTGCTACGCCAAGTATGGAATTGACAGGTTAATAAAACCAGATGACAGGTCTAATAAAACCAGAACAATATATTACATTGTACATGCTATGTTTAGTACAAAAAACAAAAACAACTTCCAAAACAGTTAATTTCATTCATCCGCGCGTCCCCAAACTTACTTTATCCATATTCATTAGCATTATTCTAGCTAATATGTTATGTGCCCCTTGATCCGCATTTCTGCGTTTGACCCTTCTCTCGCATACACATTAGCCTTGTTTTGGTCTTCGTACATTACATGCTTCATTTAAATTGCATTTATACTCATACAGTTGTAACTTCCGAAAACCCGAACACCCATGTGGACCTTGTCAAAAAGTTCGGATTTCAGAGGTTTTCCGGAATTCCAGAGGTTTATGACTCAATACTGGACGATGAGCTAAACCATCTTAATATCACTATATGTCAAGGAAGATTGTGGCCTATTACGTGGTAATATGCATATTATAATAGTCTTTTAATCAAGATAAAGATCGTGAATGAAAAGGAGATACCATTTTATTCTTACCTGCCAAATGCTTTTGGATTTCTTATCAGTTTGTAATCAGAAATGTTGTTAATTGCGACTAAACTTACATATTGTCGATGTTAATTAATTATTCTACATCAAATGCCAATACAAATCCCTAATAAAGACGTATTGATGCATACATTGTTCCAATTAATTGTTCATTTACTCACCGCCGGTAATAAACACTTCCAAATTAAACTTGATACCGCTAATTCACTTTGATTAACCGCATCACTTCCCAAACCATACCATTTCACAGTTTTGTGAGTTTTTTTAACGGGTCAAAATTACCGTCACCGCCTAATTAGTAAACAATCGCATAGGGAGATTAAATCCCTTCCTGCCCAGGGGTAAACACTTCTGGATTTACCCAATCGCCTATTTCACACCTTTTGATATTTCGGTTTCTTTTGGAGGTAAAATTGCTTCTTTGGCATTTGACTCTCCAATTTTCACGAACAATATCGCTCCGGAATTTCAGAATTTAGAAGTTCGGAATTCCACCGAAGGTATTATACTCACTCTCCGCAAATAGGAAAGGGAAAAAATTCCGGGGATCGAAAAAACTGTTCGGTTTTTTTAGAAGTTTCCGGATTTTCAGAAGTTTCCGGAATTCGAAGAAGTTACACTGTACATTAATTATCACAGAAATCAAGCCTCAGAGCTCATAATGTTACAGTTATTACTTTTTTTTGTTAGTTATTTACACCGTCATGGACCGTGACTGCACCCCTAACTCCTACAAAACATATATACCCCGACCTCCCAGTTTGGATTATGATTTTTGTTTAAACGTACAATAGAAGTTATTATCTTTTATTACTGCACACAGTACACGTCTCCGAGCTATCATCATTATATGTCTCTTCCTCGTCAACTGGAGATTATAATGTCAGCCTGTGTAATCTGTCACGTGAAAATACGAGGACAAAATATATTACCCATTCTCATATATGTAAAGCAGGGCATTTCACTATTCTTAAGTTGTTGTATAATGTATATGTAATAGAAACAGGTCTATGATATCTGGGTAAATAAAAAGTTATCTTGTAACTTGTCAAGATTTCAAGTCAGTATATATATAATACGATACATAGAAATAATTTAAAAATTCGCATAATTACCATATCTAAGGCAATATCTTTTGTGATATAACTTCACAAGAAAAAGTTCCAGATTTTAAAAGCAATATTCTTGCAGGGTTTTTGACAGAAAAACAGGAAACTTTAAAGTTTAAGCAAAATTCTTAGAATTGACAAGACATATTAGTTTTTGCTTGTTTCATGCCCTCAGCTGCCATCAGATTCTATATATACATGCTATACTATACCCAATGTAATCAAGTCCAATTAAAATCATTACAGATATAGTGTAAATTTAAGAGGTGAAATATCCACCAGCAAAATCTATTTTATGATGGCCTTAAGTTCCTCATTCAAAGTGTTATATTAATAACTTAAAGAATGCAGTTTACATTCTACTCTGACCTAACATTAGACATGAGCAATTGCTCGTGTCCAAAATGTTGTAAGAGAAAGTTAAAACCAGAAATAACATTATCAGGATAGTGAGATTTTGAAGGCCCATTCAAGTCATTGGTTGTAAAAGTGAAGAAAGATTAGAAAGTAATGAGATTTGCACTATGAAAATAAATGATTAAGAACCAGTGTAAGACTGCTGCTAATATAACAAGACAAAGATTTATTAAAAAGAGGCAAAAATATTGCCTTTCGAATTATTGCCCCTTGTCTAACAAATGCCACTTGTCAGGAATATCTAGTAATTCCAAATTTATTGATGTTACTTTTTAAAAATTTTTGAATAATGGGGCTACATTAAGGGTTTTGCAGACCACACAACAATGCCCCGCCAGCCGATCAAATAGCTTAACTTTTCCTTCAAAACAGACAAGCTTAAAAAACCCAAATTATGCTAAATGTACTCCTGTTATAATTTCTCATTTTCTTATTTTCTTTTATCTATTTATATTTTTCTCATTTTCAATTCTGATTTAAAAACAAATCGCTTGCTTGCCCATTTTAAGTGGCAAATCCAGGATTACGACACTGCCACTTCACAAACGATTTTTTGACATTGTGCTAGTGTTGTAAAACAGGGCGCATAGTTCATGATACCAAGATACATTACTTATTAACACTTGATTTCTTATATAAGACTGAAACCATCCAACAACTTTTTTGCCTTCAAATTGAAGAAAACAACAAAGAATCGTTTCCAACGATAACGATTTAGGTACTTTGCTCTATACAAATAAAATGCCAATTCAAAATACTGAATTAAACTAATTTATAAAAGTTATTGTCCGCCAGACAGATGTTTTGAATAACTCGTGGGTTGCGGTAAGCTACACTCTATGTGGAGAAAGCATTACTATCTTGCAAAAGTGACTAAAACATTACATAGCCTCGAGTTTTTTTTGCCGATTTCTTCAGAATTTTTCATTACCAATCCATTGTGTGGATTTTTTAGTCATCAAATCTGTAGAATATACAGACAAATAAATTCATTAATTATGTGGCCTGATGCTGAGAGGATAGTTCATAATCCACATGTACATTAGCTTATCTTTAATCAGAACTTAACATTTTGCTGCCAGCTCTTTTTAAGCATTTCGTACCTAGGACTGAGTGGCACCATTTCAGAATCGCTTTCTTCCTTTCTTGGTCTTCAATGTCCATTGTTCCATGCTGCTGCCTTACAGGTAACTGTATCAGCAAATTTTCATTAAATTTTGTTAATAAATTCCAATTTTCTTTAAAGGTTAGACTTTCTTAGAGTATATGAACCAATATCATATCAGTGGGGCTCCCACAATGTTTGAGACAGTGCTTAATCTCCGTTACATATCACAATATTTTCATCCTAGTTTAACAAGACCTTGAACTTACGTCTTACAATCATAAATAGAAGGCAAATAATGTAACAATTAGTGACAGACAAAGCTGTCACAAAGCTAATAAATACATGCTCCTCTATAAGTTACAAATGAGGTTAAAAAAACCCACTAAATTTAGAAACTTACATATTGCAATAAACATTATATTTACCTTTTTACTTCTAGCCATCCTTACACGCTGTGAGATTTTCTCATAATCATAGTCAATATCGTCGGACTCTTCCTCACTGGTTTTCGCCATTTCAGTTTCCAACATCTTAGCAAACTCCTCGTCAGATGATGTAAGTTCTTTACTCACATTTTTACTTTTTTTACATTTCTTTGAAGTACCTTCTTTCTTCCTTTTCTTTTTTAAAAACTCTTGTACTTCTTTAGTAAAGGACACCTCTGATGCTAAATACACTGTGCCTGGTACATGCTTCAGGTTCTCAGATTGTGGAACATCAACTTCATAACCTGTTGCTTTATCATAAAACTTTCCTTTAGGCCCAGCAACCACATACTTTTTCTTATCGGGGTATTTGTAGGGTTTACCTGTTGACTTATCATAATGAACTCCATCCTTTCCTACAACTATTGTAACATTCTGAACAGAAACACTTGGTTCATTTCCTCTAACACCACTTTCATGTACAACTTTCGGAATATTGCCGCCACTATTTCCAACAATTGGAGCTTTTATTAAATTTTCAAGTGTTTTACCACAATTTGTTACATGTGTATACATGTTAGAACTTTGCTGACCCTGCACAATATGACTAGACAGTATACTTGACTGTTTTTGCGAAGTGACAACAGGAACACTGAGTGGTGTGGGTTTATAAAGTAAAGTTGGTGCATAAATAATTGCAGGAGCTGTGCTAGCTACACAAGGAAATGAAATTGGACCTGAAATTACTTTGTTTTGTAGAATCATCCTTACACCTGAAGGATTGCCAATTAATGGATTGGA